CCCCCCCCCCCCCGATGACGTTCGTTCCTTGCCCACCCTCTTCCCACGCCGCTATCCCCGCGAGGCATGTTTGTATCGCGTTGAACACCCCAGTATTGTCCTTCCGGGGTATGTACAAGAATTAAGAAAAACATAGCAAGCCGACGGGTGCGTTGCAGGAGGGCAACCTTAAGGGATTGAAGACAAGCGCTGGCTCTATTTCCATGGAAAAATCCGATATGAAGAAAATAAGGAATTTTCCACCGTTTAGGTTTTATGCAATCTACTGTTCTCAGCAGAGGACACCATAAAGTGGCGTCCTGTGTGCTGACACGTTCAGCTTTGCTACTTGAGCTGAAATATTGAAGGTCGCAGCAGCCTCTGAAAACAGTCCGTAATTCTGCGCCGGAACGCCACCCACGCTCAACCCCTTAACGGAGGATCATCAGCAGTAGCTAATGGCATGAGCTACTGTATGTGGTCAACCCGCAGTTCAGGGGATTGGGGTTATCGGTGGGGAGCACAAGCAGTACAAGACTCAGGGTTGCGGTCCAATTTGCGGAGATTTGCGAAGATTGTAGGCCGGTGCTATTGCTGTAAGACCCTCGATATAACAATCCCCAAGAAGCAAATTTTAGCGCGCTAAGGCACACACCCCGCTGCTGTAGGGTGTCCTCTAGTGATATCAGCAGAATGCGTAGGGCCTAGGGCAAAATCGACCTTGTTTGAGTGCCTGCCGTTTTGGCTCTTTTGCCTCGAATATAGAGTCGAGTTCACTTCATCTTGATTTCGAAGGAGTCGTGTGGAGGCAGACGCGTGAAATATATGTTAAGAGCAACCCCTACTGCCGCCGTGTGCGAGAATCAACGATTTCTGTTTTTCGAGACGCCTTCCAACTGGCCTTGTGTGTCTCTTATGCATTTTCTAGTGCTCTTGCGTCTGTTTTCAAAAATGGTCCACATCAGAATTCCTTGTCTGCCATCCCTGAAGGATAATTAATGAGCGACGTTCGGCGGTCTGTGCACCATCTGCACCGATCAAGCCGAAAACCGTTGTACGATCCTTTGGACTAGTAGCACTTGATGTAGTCGGTAATCCGTTGATGCACGGCGATTTACCCTTTCGCGGGCGACCGTCATGTTCGTTGCTGAACATTCTGCTGCTGCTATGACCACAACTATCGCTCGCAGATGATAGCCACGGACGAGCATATGACGGAGGACAAGCTGAAGGAGATGAAGCGGCTCTTCGAGCAGATGACGGAGGACGACGGGCTCGAGCCCGAAGCGCTAACCTACAGTCACCTCATCCACGGGTAAGCGTTTTATTTTTCTTCATTATTCTGTAGCAATGTTTTTGATGTACCTCGTATGTCTTGTCCCGAGTCTTGGCGCCGCTGGGAATATCGTCCCTCTCACGAGGGCCTGCTTTAGTGTTTCTCAGGCCTCCTTTAAATAGTGTTAATTGTCGTCTTTTGCTTGATTCTTCCACTTGGCAGCACGGGTGCTTGTTTTCTATCTAGGTCTGTGTTGTTGAAGCCGAAATTAAACCATAGGTCAACCGCTGTCTAGTCGAATGATTGATTTGGGCTTCGGCGTTGCTAGACTTTGTCGCTGAACGAGCATGAAAAAGTGCACCAGAAGCAACAACAAGAAACTAGGCGGCGCAGATTTGTGATGGAAGACTGGCGTGTGTCCGTATTCGAGAGCAGATACAGGAGAAATATTAGAAGGTATGCGGTGCAACTATGTTGGTGAACATTAGCGTGTTGCACCCTTTAAACGGGAACAGATACAGCCTGAAGAGAACTATGAGAAGGTATGCGCTGCAACTATGTTGGTGAACATTAGCGTGTTGTTCCACCCTTTGCACGAGAACAGATACAGCCTGAATAGAAATATGAGAAGGTATGCGCTGCAACTATGTTGGCGAACATTAGCGTGTTGTTCCACCTTTTGCACGAGAACAGATACAGTCTGAATAGAAATATTAGAAGGTATGCGGTGCAACTATGTTGGTGAACATTAGCGTGTTGCACCCTTTGCACGAGAACAGATACAGCCAGGTTAGAAAAGAAGGAGAGGCGGTGCGACTGCTGGAGGAGATGGCCGTCAAGGGCCTACAGCCCGAACGAAAGACCCTTTCCAGCATGATAGTCGCGCACTCCTGGGGCTCCATAGAAGACATGCGGAGGTGAGCAAGGGACGGCCGGGTTCAGTTGGGATGGGATGGGTTGGATGGGTTGGTTTGAGTTGGGTTGGCTGCGAGAGAGCTCACAAGGGTAAGAACAGAAATTCTACTCCTGAGACTACGAGGCGCCACTGCGTGGTGGGAGCAGAAGCTCGCCTTTTCAAGGCAGCAGCAGACACAGGGCCAGGGAGAGGAAGCTCTACGACAAGTTCCGGCCAGGGCAAATGGGCTTCGACCTCCCCCAGAATCTGGAAAAATATTATCACAGATTGCGACACGAAAGTTTCGAAAGATCTCAAAATGTATTTCTTCCATGCATTACTGCTGTAACGCCCTTCTTTTCTGCGCGCTAATGGGGACCCGCCGCCAACGCAGAGTGTCGAAGGAGATGCAGGAGAAGGGGTGGACGCCCACGCGACGGGCGAATTCGGCCATGATCGGGGCCCTCTGGCGAGCTGAGGATTGGGAGGGGATTTTAGATGTGAGGCTCGAGGATTTTTGTACAGTTTCATGCAACGAGCGAGCTTAGTCTTATTTGGAGAGAGTTCTTGATGCAAGGCTTGAGGATTTTTGGTACTGCAAGCGAGGTCGGTCTACATGTTGGGAAGGAAATTCAGATGGAAGTCTTTTGGAGGGGGTGCTATCGACGACGAAATTGAACGGAGCAGGGGGTAAGCTGCTCTATGCATGATTGCGGCATTTTAGGGATGCGAGGCTATGTTCTACCTACTACGGCGTGGAGTCTTCATGACATGAGGACACCCCCCCCACTGGGGCGTAGGAAGTGGGCTAAAACAGCCGGAAGTAATATCGGTAGGATAGTTAGGATAAGGAAAACGTTTCTGGTCCACCTTTGGCAAAGCAGGAAGGAACGATTGGCCATCGGTGATCGTTCCTGCAAGAACAATGCTCCCCCCTCTCGAGGACGCGTGGCCAATGGCCTAACCGCTAAGGCATGCGAAACATGCCTACCCCCCGCTAGTTCGACTCCGCGGGACGTTCAATGTTCCCCCGTGTTTATTTTATACTGCGGGTGCGATGGAACAGACGACAAGAGCAATGCTGGAGGCCGGGCAGACGATGACGGAGGCCGGCCTGGTGGTGGCCATCAAGGCCGCCACTAACGTGGGCAACGCCGGCTTCGCCAGGGAGCTCTTGCTGATCCACGGCAAGAACAAGCACCGCCCGCAAGAGCAGCTCTACGTCTTGGTGTGTTTGGAACGCTGCTACGTTGACGCTCTCTCCGTGTGTGTCTGCCGCGCTCTTGTGTGTGTGCCGCGGGGGGTGATCGGCCGCGGGTAGGTAGCCTTCAGATTGCCGTTTGTGAGTCTGGGGCGTGGGGTAGGAAGGCTTGTACGGCGTGGGCGGTTGCCGGGCGTTGTTCCTCCCGGTTCTCTACCACGCGTGTGTTGTGGTTTGAAATGCACCGCGGTGTTTGAGTATCTACTGGCCGTGCTGCTGCTGGTGTGGTCTTTCTTTGATGCACTCTGCTGTGTGGGTTAGACGGCGCTCCTCCCTCCTTCTCTGCCTCTGCTACAGCTGCATCGGCCTTTCGCCACGATCTCTTTTTTCTGTGTGTCGAAGAGCGTGTTTTTGTTTTCTCTCGCCACTGACGCGCTCTCCTTGTTTTTTTCCCTCGTTAGTTTTGGTCCTCCGTGTGCATTCCGTAGCTCCTTATTTTAACATTTTTCATTTCTACACAACACAAGAAATTTGCCGTGATTATTGCTTCTTGCCACCACAAGGCCTTACTGTATCTGAATTTTATTTTTATTTTTTGCTGTCCTCTTTGTTTTTTTTAGGTCATGGTGGCCTTAAGAAACGCCTCCCAGCACGAAGAATGCCTGGCCTGTTGGAGAGAGCTGGTGCTGCTCGATGGCCTCGGGGACGTTAAGCTCGACGGCAGGACGTACAACCTTGCCCTGATGTCTGCGGTGAAGACAGAGCGTTGGGACGAGATGGAGACTATTCTCGACATGATGCAGGTGCCCATAGCTGTCGCTGTTGCGGTGGCGGATGTTGGTGATGATTTTGGTGCTGGTGTGTTGGTTGCTGGTCGTTGACGTTGATGTTGTTGGTCGTCTTACGGCTGCTGCAGTTATTGTTGCTGTTGTCGGTAATGGTGTCAGTGCGGCGTTGGTGGCAGCGATGATGTTGGTGATGTTACTGATGTAACCGTTTGCTGATGATGGTGCGGCGGGCGAAATTTTCCAAACCGCCGCCCTCTGCTTTCTCGCGCACTAATCACTGAGCCCCGTGACTCTGACTCCCCCCACCCCGCACTTGCAGGTACAAGCGGTAGAGCCGACGGTAGCCACGTGGCGGAGCATAGTAGACGTGTGGAACGCGGAGGAGACGGGCGACGAGGGGCGTCTCGATCAGATCTTCGGGGAAATGGTCAGGAGAGAGTGGCGGCCGGACAGAGCCGTGCGGCTGCACGTGGCCATGGCTTACGCGAGGTGCAGGGCGTGGGTCAAGGCGATGGCTTGGTTCGACCCCGCGGTGAGTGCTTCTACCCCCCCCCGGTGGGTGCCCCGCATCGTGTAACCACCCACCCATGGGCAGGATGTAGTGAACCCTTCATGCGACTCGCCGAATACCTCACGGCGTTTGATGTGAGAGCCTGGTCCGCTGAGAACCCAGCGTGCTCCGTCCCGGCTTTATAGTGATGTCGACGGTTTATGGCCTAACGACTACATGGCATGCACGGCTGTGAAGTACCCCCGCCCCCCGTGGGTGCCCCGCAATGTGTGCTGCTTCCGTGTGTGTGTGTCATTGAATTAGAGTCGCCCGCGCTACACCTGACCGACTATTAGTGAAAAATTGTCATGGGGTGTCAACGGAGAAGAACACGGACGCGCCCCTACGGCCGTGCGTTTCTTTTGCCCCCAGCAGTAGCATGGACTGCATCGTCTGACCAATGCAAAGACGGCAAAGTGTGATGTGTGCTTCAGTTAGAAGCAATCGCGCTACCCGACTGCCCGATGAGCGGACGCCAGTCTTCAGCGGGAGCGAGAAACACGAGAGAGACTTACATGCTTCCCGGAATTGAGTGTTTGCGTCTACAGCGCTGTGCGGCTAACCAATTAACAGGCGTCAGCAATTGCCTTCGTTCTTTTGTCCTCGCATTTGGAATACTCAAACTTTTCCCTTTATTATTGTTTCCACGCTGTGCAGCTGACAGAGGACAGTAAGCTTGGTCCAAGCGAGACAGAGCTCCTGGTAATGTCGCTGGCGGGGTTGGAGAGGTACGGGGAGGTGAAGGAGGTTTGGACGCGCAACACAAACTCCAAGGCAAGTCTTTAACCTAGCCACGTTTTCCCCATGGTAGATGTTGTAACTTGTGTGATTTCCCGTTGAACTGCTGTGGGTTCCGGTTATCTCTGAGAAGTACGCTCCTACTTGAGGGTCGTGTCCAACTGTTCCTCTGCGCTGCTGTTCTGCAGATCGCCACGCGTCGCTGCTGTCTGCGCGTGTTCCGAAATACCTTCTTGAGGATCGTATCCAGCTGTTCCTCCGCACTTATGTTATGCGGATCGCCGCTCCAGCGTCACTGCTGTCTGCGCATGTTCCGAGATACCTGCTTGAGGATCGTATCGAAATGTTCGCCCGCACTTCTATTCTGCGGATCGCCGCGCGTCACTGCTGTGTGCGCATGTTCCGAGATACCTGCTTGAGGATCGTATCGAACTGTTCGCCCGCACTTCTGTTCTGCGGATCGCCACGCGTCACTGCTGTATGCCCGTGTCCCGAGGTACCCCGTCACTGAACGGACTTTAAATCCTACGTGTCTTTATGTGTGTACTGCAGCTACACGTGCAGCTATTGGTACAGTAATGGTTCCGGTACAACGGCGATGCGGTAGTTGCCAGCCCCCTTCAACTGGCATTCAAGCGGGCAACCGGCATAATCCAGAGCATGAAACAACTTGAACACCCCATCTGCGCCGGACGATGTCACCGGCATTACGCAGGGCAACCGGCATTATAGCGGGACCACTACAAAAGTGCGGTGTGCCGATATGCCACTGCCACCCTTGTGTGGTCATTTGTTTCGTACTTTTATATGTAGGACGCGAGCGTATTTCGGCCGGCGGTGTTGCTGAAGATGGCCGAGGCCGCGCGGGAGCTGGACGACCCGGACTGGGCTTTGGAGTTGCACTCTGTGGCGTCGTCGGGGACGGGGGTCGTCCCCCCGCGCTTGTGGCAGGACGTGGTGAGGGTGCTGACGAAAGCCGGGAGGCTGGAAGAAGCTGCGGTTGTGTTGCAGGTGAGGATGGCCTTTGGGTGATCGTTGTGTTGTTGGCGGTATTGGTAGTGGTGTTGGTGGAAGTGGTGGTCGCGGTGTGCTGGGCGTATTGCAAGATTTGTTGCTGTTGTTGTTGTTGTCGTTGTATTAGTAGCAGTGCTTGTTGTGGCGGTTGTTGCCGTCGTCGCCGTTGTGAGGGTGTTGGTGTTCGGGGCGGCCTCTTTGTTGCTGTTGCTGGGGTGGTTGTATAGTACTTGTAGCTGCCATGCCGAGCCATTGTGGTCCAAATCCTGGGGAGGGATGATTGAGTCCATGCGTGCGATGATCCGGCCAGGAAAACGTCAGACATTTCTGGAGAGCGTGCCATGGGCTACCTGTTGTAGCATGAGCAAAATCCTGGGCGGGGGTTGCGGAACTCGATAGGCAGGGTGCTTACACAGGACGGTTAATCACTTTCTAGAATCTCCTACGTGTACCAGATGATGTTTCCCAAAACGGACCTTCTCCTTTCGACCCTGGCGCTCAATCCTCCTCCTCCTCCTGTTGGGGTGTCAGGGTGTCACGGCGTCTCTCTAGCGTGTCTTTGAGCTCTTCACTTGTGTTCTCTTGTGAATTCGTCCCCTCTGGGGTTTCGTAGAGAGCGGCGGATGAACGACCGAGAAGTGGGCGAAACGCAACATGAAGATACCGATATGCATAGCAAGGCGAGACGCCCCAGTTATCGCGTGCTGCTACCCCCCCCCCCCCCCCCCCCCCCCCCCCCCCCCCCCCCCCCCCCCCCC